GGGATACAGTGGTGGAAAAAGATAGGCGTATGTCCTATTTGGATCTGATAAGGTAGCAGGAAGTTTCAATGTATCAGATTCACCAGGTTGGTAATAAGACAGGGTGCTATAAGGGTACACAAGCCAGACTTAAGGAGGGCACTTCCACCAGGCTTAAGGAGTCAGGGAAGGCTTCCTAGTGTCCCCTTTGAAAAGTAAGAGCTAACTAGTTGAGGAAAGAGGGAGAAGGTGAAGAACACTCAGAGAGGATCATGTATCAAAAGAGTCTAGTTTCTTTGAGGAACGAAAAAGTTTTTTAGAGCCGGAACACAGAAATCAAAGAAAGTGGTACTGAGAGATGAAATTGCAGAATTTGAGACCAGGTCATGCATGGATCTGGAAGCCTTGTTAAGGAGGTGGTTAGCATGGTGGTTAAGAATTTAGGACTTCATGACTTCCAGTCTCTACCCTACCCTTCCTAGCTCACTGATCTCAAGCTAGTCATCAACCTCATTAATTCATAGGTTTCTCTTCTAAAAATGAAAATAATAGAGTTTATCTTAAAGAGTCTTAGAAATCATTGAAGAGAGTTTTTTTTTTTAAATATTTATTTATTTATACAAGAACCTGGGTACAGGCCAGATGCAGGGGAGGGTGAGAGGATTCGCCAGAGACAGCCGAGAACAGAACAGGCAGAGTGACTGACTGAGGGGAGCAGTGGGTGAGACAGGAGAGGTCTGCCCCGCCATGTGGGTTGCTCCACAGCTGGCGGGGATTGAACCGGCACTGCGGAGGCTACGGACAGCTTCACCGCACAGCGCTCAACCTCCTGCGCCACCAAGGAGGCCCTCATTGAAGAGTTTTAAACAGAAAAACCTTACATGATTTCTATTATAGGGGGAACTCTCTGATTGCAGGGCGGCAACTACCTTAGAAGGGTAAAAGTGGAAGCTGGGGGTCTAATTAGTAAGCTTTTTTATCATTGAGATTAAAGAATACGTTAAGCCCAAATTTGAGTATGTAATAGCAGAGAAGGATAAGATAGAGATATTTAGGATGAAGAATTGGCAAGAATTGGTGAATGGGAATTGGAAACGAGAGAGAAGGAAGTCTCAAAGATGTTACTTAGGTTTGTGACCTGGGCAACTAGGATGTTGATGTTGCCGTTAATGGAACCCAGAGAAAGGAGCAGATTTAGAGTGGAAGCTCATGAGTTCAAATGAAGACATGAGGAGTTGAGATTCTGGGGTTTATCCAAAGGATGTCAAATAGGCAGTTAGATAAGGGCTTTCGATAGAAGTACTGGGAATGAGCTGAAACTCATTGTGCTTTGATGAACTGGAGATACAGCGAGTGGCAGAAAAGTTCAGAACTTGCAAGTAACCACACCACCCTGTTCTTTTCCAGATACAGAGATTGACTGGAAAGCCTACATGGCTGAGGTAGAGGGCGTCATTAATGGCACCTACGATTATACTCAGTTGCAGGGTGACACCGGACCTCTTGTGTAAGTGGGGATAAGAAGTTCCACAAGGGGAAGGCTGGATACCAGGCTGGTTGGCTTGACCCCAACCCGCTCCCTGTCATCTTCCAGGTATCCAGCTGGCTTTGTGTACATCTTTATGGGGCTATATTATGCCACTGGGCGAGGCACTGACATTCGCATGGCCCAGCACATCTTTGCTGTGCTCTACCTGGCCACCTTGCTGCTTGTCTTCTTGATCTACCACCAGACCTGCAAGGTGAGACCATACTACCACGACACCAAGAGGGAGGGTGTCCTCCTCAACCTGGGAGGCTTAGGGAGTGGGGATGGCTCACGGTTGGTGAGCTGACCTTGTTCCCCACTATGCCCACCTCTCAGGTACCTCCCTTCGTCTTTTTCTTCATGTGCTGTGCCTCTTACCGTGTCCACTCCATCTTTGTGCTGCGGCTCTTCAATGACCCAGTGGCCATGGCGCTGCTCTTCCTCAGTATCAACCTCCTGCTAGCAAAGCGCTGGAGCTGGGGCTGCTGCTGTTTCAGGTCAATACCCCTCCCTTCTGGTCCCCTCTCTCACATTTCCGTATTTCCATCAGTCTCCTCACTTTATGCAGGGGAGGGACTGAGGGAGTGGCCAGACAATGTGGGCAAGTGAGAGGCCCACTAGACAAGTCCAGGATCTATAGAAAGACTGTCCCAGCACCCTCTCCCTCGTCCCCTCCTGTCTTCCCTCCAGACAGCATCTGTTGCTGGAGTGGGCCTTACAAATACATATTTGTTCACTCAGTCTGGGCACAGATACCAGGTATCGTCTCCCTACCTCCAGGCTCCTTCCAGGCTGCCATACCCTCCCACTCCCAGGTCTGAGTGTGGGCCCCATCCTGGAGTTTGTTGGTGGGGGAAGGGAGGGGTTGCTATGGTAATGGGGAGCAGTGTAGGGTTGGCCCTAGAGCTGATATCCATCCTTCTTTCCCCTACCCACCCCAGCCTGGCAGTTTCTGTGAAGATGAATGTGCTACTTTTCGCCCCTGGGTTACTCTTCCTTCTCCTGGTACAATTTGGCCTCCGTGGGGCCCTCCCTAAGCTGGGCATCTGTGCTGTTCTCCAGGTACCTTTCCCTTAATCTTTTTTTTTTTTTTTTTTTAAGATTTTTTATTTTTATTTACACAAAAACTGGGGTATAGGCCAGAGGCGGGGGAGGGTGAGAGTATTCACCAGAGACAGAGCGGGGAGTAGAACAGGTAGATGAACCAAAAACACTGTTGAGGGGAGCAGCGGGCGAGGCAGGAGAGGTCTGCCGTGCCATGTGGGAATCTCCCTGGCCGGCCAGGAATTGAACCCGTGCTGCTGCAGAGGCTGCGGACAGCTTCACAGTGCTGCGCTCAACCCGCTGCACCACCTGGGAGGAGGCCCCTTCCTTAGTCTTTCCCTTTCTAATGAAGGGTATGCAAGTCTGACTCCCTTCCATCCTTCAGACTTTCTCAAAGTCAAGTGACAGGATTTCAGAGTTGATTATGCGGTGGGCAGTCATTACTTCTGGGCGTTGGTGTATTTAGCTGTAAAATAAATGTGTCGAACTAGATAGTTTCTGAGGGCCCTTCTAGCTCTGCCCATTTGTGACTTGGTGAATCCAGAGTTAAAGCACTGTTACTACTGCCTCCTCAATTTCTTTGGCCCTCACCTCTGGCTTGGGGAGGCGGGGAACTACTGGCCTTTCTGTTATTCCTGGTAGGGATTAGGGAACCTTTGAGACTGTACCCTGTTTCCATTCTCCTCAGTGATTAGCATGAAGATTGGGAGTGAGCCTGAGCAGCTCTGCTAACATTATACCCATCCTCAGGTGGTTCTGGGACTGCCCTTCCTGTTGAAGAATCCTGTTGGCTACCTATCCCGCTCCTTTGACCTTGGACGCCAGTTTCTCTTCCGGTGGACAGTAAACTGGCGCTTCCTCCCTGAGGCCCTCTTCCTGAATCGAGCCTTCCACCTGGCACTATTGGCTGCCCACCTCACCTTGCTCTTACTCTTTGCCCTTTGCAGGTGGCACCGGTGAGAAAGGGGAGCAGTGCCTTGGGCCTAGTTGGGGACAGACTGAAAGGCCAAGGCCTTAGGGACTATTTGGGGGAGATGTTGGGCTCATGGGGATGAGTCTAGAGCTTGGCTCGTGACAGGAGCTTGATAAATGTCTGAATGGCTTCTCCCCAGGACAGGGGAAAGTATCCTGTCGCTGCTGAAGGAGCCCTCCAAAAGGAAGGTTCCACCCCAGCCCCTCAAACCCAATCATATCCTTTAAATCATGGGAAGGTAAGTCTTGCCCTCCCCAAATGTAGATGGGGTCCTTGTCAGCTAGTCTTGGGTGGCTGATGACCTGGGGGAGGGAGAAGGAAGAGACCTCACTTAGAGCTAAAGGGCCCATTCCTAGAGCTCCTGCTCTGCACCAAATACTGTGCTGAGCACTTTACATGTTGAAGCATATTTTATACTTAATTCTAAATATGGCTGAGAAACCATTGTGAGTGCTCACCCTCTGCCTAGTGCTTTCCTAAGAGATTAATGTATATTCCAAACAAGAGACCCTGAGATCGGTATTTTTATTATCATCATTTTATAGCTGTCAAATTTTAGGGTTTTAAGAGGTTAAGGAATTTACCAAAGTCACTCAGCTAGTAAATAATAGGTTAAAATTCATTAGGCCTTATGACTGCAAGTTATTGCTGTCTTCATACTAGCTTAAGGAAATGTTCCAGAGAAGTTAAAAAACTTGCCCAAATGTATGCATCTGGGAATGGAAGAGCGGGGGATATTCCAACCACAAAACTTTTGCCCCTTTGCTTTGGAACCTCCCTCTCACCCTACCTTCCCCCTCGCCACCCACTACCACCCCAATTCCTACCCCTCCTGCTCCTGCCCTTGGCCTTGACCACTGCATACAGATAGTTTCTACCCTCTTCACCTCTAACTTCATTGGCATCTGCTTCAGCCGCTCCCTCCACTACCAGTTCTACGTCTGGTATTTCCACACACTGCCCTACCTCCTGTGGGCCACGCCTGCACGCTGGCTCACACATCTGCTCAGGTACTGGCTGGGACAACCTGGGGGAGTGGGAAGGGAGATCCTCAGCCCGAGACTGACCATGGAGGAGTGTGGGGTGAGCTGAAAGGCTACAGGCATAGACACTGGATAACTTAGAGCTTATTTCTCATCTCTAGGTTGCTGGTGCTGGGGCTCATTGAGCTCTCGTGGAACACATACCCATCTACATCCTGCAGCTCTGCGGCCCTGCATGTGTGTCATGCTGTCATTCTGCTGCAGCTTTGGCTGGCCCCCCAGCCTTTCCCCAAGAGCATCCGGCACAGCAAGAAGGCCCACTGAGAACCACCTCTTCCCCTCCGGTCCATTCTTAGGACCCTGGATGGGGATGGACTCTGTGCTCTTCCTAATAAACCTTACCAAGTCCACTTCCGTGAGCCGACATGGAAGTGCCTGGACGAAGCTGTGAGGGACATGCACATGGCAGATAAAGAATTCATTCAGACAGTACTAAGAGGCACTTTATTGCATAGGGTTTGGAAACTGTGGCTCTCTCCCCATCCACTGCACTGCACAGAGCTCAGAGGGCCGGGGCCTGGGGTGGGAGGAGCGGAGAGAGCACAGGCAGGCACTTTCTGTGGGGTGAAAAGGATTGGGGAAGGGGGAATGAGAAGCAGTGGGTAGGTGGGGGAAGTGGGCAGGCTGGCACCAATCTACCCCTTCCCAGCACCAAGACCGACCCGGGGTGGCAGTGACGTGAGTGTGTTGGAGGGAAAGGGGAGATCATCCCAAGCAGCATGCTGTGTCCTCACACATTTGCTGGACTGTAGCACAGCAAGTGTAGCTGCAGGTTCTGGTCCCAGTGGCGCAGCAGCAAGAAGAGACCCCGTGCCGCAGCCTTGAGGGCAACCAGGTCGAGGCCATCAGGTAGGTGTTGGGCCCGTAGCCAACAGTCAGCCTTGGCTGCTGCCAGTTCCCACTCGCCAAAGGCAGCAGCACAGCGGTGCTCCAGCCAAGCTAGCGCCACCGCTGTAGCCCAGGTCCGGCTCCGCAGGTCTGCGCCGCCTAATCCCTCTGCCCCCTCTGAGGCCTCAGTGTCTGAGCCCCGCCCACTGTCCACCTGGCCTGGACCCTCAGAGCCTGAGCTGGGGGATGGGCTGCAGGAGGCTGTGGCACTGTCGCCCTGGCCAATACTGGGGCCCAGAAGTGCCCAGGGAGATGAGGCTGAGGTGGGGCTGAGGCTGGCGCGGTGCACGGCGAAGGGTGAAGCACGGCACAGGCGCTCCTGTGGGATGTGCACTGCAGAGCTGAAGGGTGCATCAAGGCGGAAGGAGCCAGGTGCCTCCTGCAGCCGCACCTGAGGAGAGAGGAGGTGGGGGGAGAAGTGAGCTGAGAGTGCTCTAGCTCTGGCAATGCCACCCTCCACCTCCCGAGTCCTCACCAAGGGCAGGTAGTCATGGTCACTGGTCTGGCTCTGGCTGGGGCTACAGAGTTTGCGGCTGTTTGGGCCCCTGGCCTTCCAACGACCCAGGCTGAGCCTAGCAGAAGGCTGCATGGGCAGATGATGAGGACCTCCAGTGGGGTCTGTAGGGTCCCCCAAAGCAGGCGTGGAGCTGTCGTTCTGGTCCTGGTCCTGGCCACCTGCTAAAGAACCTCCCTGAAGTCCTGTAATAGAGCCAGTCATTGCCAGTGCTGGTCTCTAAGGGATTGCTCCCACACCCTTCCCCACATTTAAGCATTACCTTTAGAGTGGACAGCTGTGGGCCGAGAAGCTGCATCTAGTAGGCCCTGCGAGGCAAGAGGAGTGCCTGGGGGCTCCGCTGGCTCTGCAAGGGTATAGGAGAATAGAGGTGAGGTTTGTCCCAGAAGGTGGCCATAAGGTGAGTGTCAGCACCTGAGGTCACCAGGCTGGGACCCTACCTGAGCTCCGCACCTGCAGGGCAAAGGGCAGGACCTCTCTAGTAGTAGCGTCAACAGCTACAGGGCAGGTGAAGCAGGAGGGGGCTGAGCTGACTTTGCTTGTCTGAAGGGCTCGGAGCCAGGACCTCCGGGCATGGCCTGTGAAACCAAGGAGGGGGTGCGCTCTCACTAGCCACTCGTTACATAGGGTTTTAATAGGAAAAAGTCTCACTGTTCCCCATAGCATCTCCTTCTGTCCACTTTGAGAAGAGTGAAGTTCCTTCTCAGGGCCAGGGACGGCTCAGACTCCCCAACTTTGACAAATGGTTAGGCTGAACCCTCAGTTCCTAGCAGGGCTAGACCCCTGACCATCCAGAAATTCAACACTTTGGACACCACCAGAGGAAGCATCAGCTGTGGTGCCTTTTTCATCCACTCATTTTAGCTCTGTCCAACAGAATTTTCTGCAAAGATAGATGTGTTCTATAGCATGATCCAACATGGTAGCCTCTAGTCACTATGACTATTAAGCACTTTAAGTGACGTAGAACTGAGATTTTAACTATTTGAGTCAATAGTCTTCCTGAACGAAAGATTTGTTTTTGTTGTGGCCACTGTGAATCATTACAAGATCACGTTACCTTCTTGTTGGCTGTTCGGAAATTTACCTATTTTGGGTCCCGTGCTTGTAAGGACACATAACCTCCTATTGTGCATCTTTAATATAACCTCATTCTGTTTCTTTTTATTATCCTGTTCCCCCCATTGTGCTGCCTACGTTTCTTCCTTGCCAGTGTGAGTGAACTACCGCATACTGTTCATGAGCACAGCCAGGTATAAAGAGTGATTGGATGCACAGACTTACATCTCTACCAGCCTGCCCTGAACAGGCTCCTTGGGCCCGTACTAGGGCTACCACCAACTTACCTCGGTCAGCCCTGGTCTCAACCCCGCCTCGGAGAGCCAGATGCTCATTGTCCCGGACCACAGAGGCCGCTGTCAGTCGGTGGAATGCTTGGTCCCAAGAGCCTTCTCTCTCAAGGGGTGACAGTGGCTGTGAGCCATCATCCTTAGACTCCCATAGTGGCTCTAGCCCAACACCCACCTCCCAACTCATAGGTTGCTCCCCACACAAGGCCCGGATAACCACATGACAGCGTGGAGCCTGGGGTGGTGGTGGCACTGCTGGAGGGGCTGACTCCCCATTGGGGGGCACAGCTGTGAACAAGAAGGATGGCTCCATCAACATGTCCCAGTCCATGGGTGCTGGGGAGAGCAGGTTTGCTATGGAGAGAAAAGAAGAACAGGGGTCATGTGGTACCCTGGACGCCACCTCCCCAAGGTCTCCTTGGTGTCAGAAACAAGCTTCCCAGCCAACCCTTACTTGAGTCGTCCAGGCCTTGTCCCAGCTGCTGCCCTGACTCGGGGCCTGATCCATCTGGTGCTGTGCCCAGAGAGGGGTGCCGAGGGCCACCAGAGACTGGGTTCACTTGGCCTGGGGGTGATGAGAGGCTTCGACCAGCGAGAGCTACTCTTCGTCGTCGGCCCAGAACCTCAGCACTCAAGGCCCCAGGCTGCATGTGAGAAGTGGGGTCCACGGGTTAAGGGTAACAGAGATTCTTTCCCCACATACACCACTCACCAGATGCCCCTTTGTCTGAACCCCTGGATGAAGGGCCTCTGGACCCCTCCCCAGTGTCTCCTTATTCCATGCCTTATTTTCCATTTGCTTTTCTCTGGTTTTGTTCATGTCTTGGCTCTTTTCACTTGGCTAACTTCTTAACTCTTCTAGGTGTGGTGTGCTTCCTTTTCTGATCTGACTCCCTGAGACAGGGTTTATCTGACTCTGAGCCCCCATTAAACATGTGCCTGTGCTCCTCTGTATTTTGCCTGGCGTCATCAATATAGATGTACCATCTCTTCAGCTAAACTTGATAGTAATCACTGCACCATTGTGGAATACAGCAGACAGTCAAGAAATGTTTGCTAGATATCTGCTATATATTTGTGAACTGAATCTCACCTTGATTGGAGCCAGTGGGGGTGGAGGGAGGGGGCAGGAGCGGAAGCCTGCAGGTTCTCCCCAGGCCAGGCTGCGGCAGCCCTGCTGAGAAGGGGGATCCGGAAGAGCACTCCCTTCGGGAGAGCCAGGGCCCTGGGAGCCAAGGGACTCGCCACTGCCCGTGGAGCCTGGGCCTGGTTCGGGGCTGGCAGAGCAGTGGGTGAGCACATACTGCTCTCGGATGTATGAGGACTGGAAGATGCGGCGCCATATGGCTGTATCAGAGGAGGGGTTGGGTCCAGGATCTGTGACTGGGTCTGTCAGAGCATCAGCACCTGATGGGAGGCAGGAGAATAGACCCAGCCCTGGGCTCTCCGAGTGCTCTCTCCTCCAACAGCCACACGCATATACCCAGGTACTCACTCCGCTCTGAGTCCCCAGCAGCCCATGGACTGGACAGCTCTGCTGATACAGTGCCTACTTCTGGGGGTGCTGAGGTGCCAGTGGGCTCAGTGCCAGGGCTGGTGGCAGATGGCGCCTCCTCTGGGGATGGGAACACAGAGCCGCCCAAGCTCTGCCAGCCAGGCTCTTGGCCCTAGAGAGGGATAGATAGCATTGGGGAATAATGAATTGTAGTGATATACTTCCTCTTTTCAACAAAGATTTAAGGTGACTCACCGCCAACAGCAACACCCTTAATAAACCAGAAATGAAAGACCAGTACTCCAGGAGAAGGAATGGGTGTGTTACCATAGGGTTAATAGAGCAGCTGTGGCTAAGCTTCTTGGCAGCCAGGCACAAAGGCAGACAGGCCATTATAGCGCTCATAATCAGAAAGGAGGAAGCATGCATCGTTCATCTAGAGAGAGAAAACTTCACAACAAAAAGAACTATCATCTCTCAAACTACCAGAAGTCAAATATCCCACCAAGAGCGTGCACGGTTTGACCTCTACTATCAACAATGCTGTGGGAGAAAGCATGAAGAAGTGGGCTCAGAGAGATTAAGTGGCTTGTCCCAAATCAAATGACTAGTAATGGCAGAATTGGGATCTGAGATTTTTGCAGGGAGGGGAATGGAGAGTAATGAGATTTTTTTCTATACCATGCTCCACCTGTCCCTGAACGTTACAGGAAATAATCTGACGGTGCTTTCTGTAGGACACGGTATAATGTAAAGAGGAAGTGTGAACAAAAATCTCAGCGCTAATGCTGGAGCTGTTTCCTGTGCCCGTGTGCTTTAGTGATCTTTGGTCAAAGCCAAGGGCAACACTTTACAGGATACCTCAGTGGAGGCTCTCATAGGGGGTCTTCCTAGGATGCAGTCACCTTGGGGGCGGGGGCTCTGTGATGTCCGGGGGGGCCTAGAAGGTACGAGAGCTTGGCATGGAAAGTGAAGGAAGGATTTTGAGGAGATGCAGGGGCTTCAGCTATCCCAGGCCCACCTCCTGCACCCCAGCCCAGACCTACCCCCAGGGGGCGGGACCGGAAGCCATCCACTCTGAAGAGTGAGCAGTAACCGAGCAGCTGGTCCCCCGGATAGAGCGCTGGGATCTCCCTGGGGGTCAGTAGTGCCTCCACTGCGTCGGGCACAAACCAGTCCACAGAGATGTCACTCAAAGCGGGCTCCAGTGCCTTCCGCAGCGCCTGCACCAGCTGGGAGGAGTGGCCAGGGAGAGAGCATGGGCGAGAAAGAGGTGCCACACTGACGACAGTGGGAAAGCCGCCCTTCCCCTGGAGCCATCTGTCCAGTCCCCAGGCTAGGGGCAGGGAAGGGAATGGGGGTAGGTATAAGCAAGGTGGCTGGGTGCTCAGTCTTAGGGCCTGAAGTGCGCCAAGCAGATAGGCAAGACTTTTTTGAGGATATGGATGTGTCCTCAGTACCAGAACAAAACTGAGAATAGGATTTGAGGGCAGTCAGAGGCGTGTCCCTGGCACATTTGGTCTCCTGAGGGATCCCGTAGCTATACCATAGCTCCTCCCCTGGCTGGCATCTCAAAGGGAGGGTGGGATTGGAATGGGGCAGAAGTCCTGGTCAGGGTGCCATGAAACCTTATGACTTAATTGGTTTCTGTTTCAAACTCAGTGTCACTTGGGAAAGGACTTCCAGGAGTAAGGAACAGGGCGCAGGCTTAAGCTCACCATGGGCTGCAGCCTCTCCCCAGGCTTCAGAAAGTAGGCCTGGCCCCTGCTGAGGGTGGACAGACCCTGGAGCAGCTGGTGGCAGGCAGGCCCCAGCCCAAAGGAGAAGCATCTGAGGAGTAAAAGGAAGCAGCTATAAACTGCTGGAGCCTTTTGGGGGTGAGAAGCTGTCACTCTCAGGCACCTGCCTATCCCTGCCCCATACCTAGCCGCCCCTCTGTGCCACCTCATGAGCTCCAGGGTTTGGTGTGTAGCAGCGGCTACGGGAGAGGCAGCAGTGAGCAGGAATAACTGTCGAGGGTGGGCCTTGTGCTGGGGCTGCGCCATGGCCCAGTCCAATGCAGCCAGCACATCCGGGACCCCCACGGCCTGCAGAATCTCAATGCTCTCACAGATCAGCTGCACATTGTCCTGGAGAGAGAAGGCAGAGGCTAGGCTGTGCTGGGTCAAAATATCTTCACGAAGGTCCCAAAGCTCTGGACCTCACACTCACATCACTGCAAGGCCGGCTTTCTGGGAAGAGAGGCTGCACCGAAGTACCAAATGTGGCCAGATTGATGAGCGTCTGGGGCGGGAGGGACTTCACAGCCAAAACAATGGCATCCTGGGGAAGGCCAGAGAGGGTAGTATGAGGCAGGCTCCACTGACCCTGGTAGAGTGCAGATTACCTACTTCTTCCAGACCCATGTGAAATAAAGGCTGGATGAAGTAATCCGGGAAAGGCCCTGTGTGCGTGAGACTATGAATGAGATCCTGGGAGTGTGAGGGAGACTGAGTGTGTGGGAGAGACCTATGTACAGGTGACTCTGGAGGTACATGTGGCATGGGTTGGGAGTCAGGCGTGTCTGAATGCAACTATATGTATGAGAGGGTCTTGGAATCTGGGAGAGACATACAGGTGTGTGAGAGAAAGAGGGGTGTGTGTGTGTGTGTGTGTGTGTGTGTCCGTCCAAGTATTGTTTCTTCGAGAGGCTACCTCCAGGTCTACTGGCCCACCCAACCCCAGGCCTGCCCACACAGTGCCCCCACAGGCCTTGTATGCCATGCTGCTGCCATCCATCAGGAAAAGGAGCTCCCGTGTAGCTGTGCCCAAGTGCCCAGGCTTGGAGCTCAGATCTGGACAGAAGCTCAACACCAGCACAGGGTTCAGCAGGATATCCTTGTGGAAGCGTCGCTGCAGGAACCATACCTGAGCATGAGAGTCCCCATCAACCTGGGTCAGGCTTAGTGCAACTTCAACCCAGGCAGGACCCAGCCCAGGGAATTTTCTATCAACTCTACCCAGACGGGGAAACTCTTTGTAGTCATTTGAATAAAGGCAAGGGTAGAGACAGGTGGCTGTCCTCTGCTATCTCAGACTTGCCCCCCCTCTGCTGAGACTCATCCCAGGGAGACTTGCGTAGGCCCTCCTGTGACAATACTCATCAACCCTCCAGGATGCTGGGGCAGCTACTGAGAGGCCTGTTGATAACACGAACTATGCCAGCATGAGCTTGTTTGCCTGTTCCTCATGCACAAGTGCAGCCAGCAGTGGGGCCCAGGGTTGGGCCAGGATCCCAGGCAACCATACCTGTTGGTCCCCATCACTGTCCCTTCGCTGTAGTCTCTGGAAATCCCGGCGGGCCCGCACCCGGGCCTCATATTCTGCGGCGCTCAGGCTGCCGGCTTCCAACATCAGGTGTGGCTTGTGGGGTTCTGAGTAGGAGGGGACACAGTTCTGATAAGGAAGTCTCAACTCTGGACCCCAAATACTCAGCCCCATCTCCTGGGAGGACCACTTGGCGCACCCTCACAGATAACTTGGTATATCTGGCTTGGGGTCCAGAAATCTCTACTTGAAAAACGCTACCCATTGGTCCTGAAGCAGGTCAGAGCTGGCCCACCATGTATCCCAGTTCCTCACCACTGGGGTATAGCAGGATCTCCAAGGCCCGGTCACAGGGATGGCCCTCCGCCAGCGTGACACAAATCGTGGCTGCAGAGTTGGCATGAGGAGGGGCATCTGCCCGCAGGGCATGAGAGGGGCTCTCCAGGCCTGAGGGACATAGATGCAGGGAGGGGTGATGATCACCCCATCCCAAGCCCGTACTCAGAGTATAAACATCACCTTCCCAGAAGACAGTGGCATAGGCAAGTGTCTTGACTGATTGCGTTCAGCTCTCAGAGCCTGATCTACAGGATAGAAGGGCAAAGGATGGGGGTCCTGGGCCAGGGGGCAGAGTCCCGGCTCTCTTCCTGGCTGGTCAAAGTGTTACGTGTCAAACCAACTGCTGGTTTAGCACCCTCCTCCCGCCTCCCAAATAAGGAAATTCTACTTCATCACTTGAGTTGGTTTCATTGCAGGCAACTCTCTTTCACTTGGTGAGTGGAGTAGGATATAAACAAATTGCAACAAAACTAGGAGTTGGGGGGTTGTTAGGTAGAAGTGGCCAGGGGATGCTCCTACTCTGATACTGGGGGTTCCTAGGGCTTGGATCCCTGTCTTCTTCTTAGGCTGTGCTCCTCCCATCCCTAGCCTTGAATTATTTCTCAGTCAGCGGTACTGGAGGGAGGACCCACCTGCCAGCAGGCATGGCCCAGTCACCAGCATCTCGAAGGAGAAGGTGTATGGGGCAGGGCAGCGGGCAGGGCCTGAGAACACATCCCAAGGGGCAGCTGGCTCCTCCCAGGCCTGCCCTTCCTCCAGAGGGCTGCCCACCCCGAAGCAGCTGGTGGGGCTGGAAGGGATATGAGGGGGTCACTGGCCATGGCCAAGGCCCCTAGGCCCTCTGGCTCACTGGCCACAGCCCATCCCCACCTTGCCCATCCCCTGGGGCACCCCGCCAAAAGCCCCCTCACCCGCACTAGACCCAGAGAAGCCGAGGGAGGGACGAAGAGAATCACCATAGGCCCAACCTGTCGTCACAGAGCCCCGGAGGCCTAGGGGGCCCCGGTGGGCCTGGTGAGGCCAGGGGTGTGAGCACAGAGGGCAAAGCCATGCACAGCACCCCATTAGGCCTTGAGGGCATCTCCCGGCTGCTGCGCAGGGTCACCGTCATGGTGCCGGCCGCTGCAATGAGGCCTGTGGGCAGCACCAACGTGGACCGGGCCTGGGCCAGATCCAAGACAAGATGACCTACGATGAGTGAGAAAAGAGGTCAGAAGGGGCAGGAAGCAGAGGAGATAGGGAGGATGGGGCGGGAGTAGGCACTGAGTCAAGGGAGCCTGAGCAAGGCGGACTCTGCGTGGTGGTGGAAACACTGAGCTAATACATTGGTGATGCAGGATGGCGGCATGAGATGAATGAAAGAAAAAGAGGCAGGCTGATAGCGGAAGGATCTGGCTGTCATCAGGAAAGGGAGCATCACCTCCCTGCTAGCCGAGGGGTGAGGAGGAGAAAGGGACTTGTCCTCATCCACACTGCCCCAAGATCCTGAAGGATCCATACCCCTTCCTGCTCTTCCCCTGCCTGTCTGTGCTCATTCAACCCGGGCGTCATCTTCCTCCCTTGGAGGACACCCCCTTGTGGACTAACATCTCTCATGGCCTGGTGCTCGCCCTGCTCACAGAGGAATAGTCAGGGTTCCCACTGCCACTAGGAGTGGCTCCAGAATTTTCTACACAAGAGACATTTAGGAGCAATAATCTGTTTAGAAGCTGCCGAGAGGATATAAAGCTGTGTTTGTCTACTTAGATCATAGACTTGGAGGTGACTGCTGGAGTCCTAGGGGCCACCACCGCTGTTAAAGGAAAAGCAACCAGTGTGCACAGTTGCAGTCAAGGCTCTGAAGGGGCTGAGCCCAGCCCTACTTCACCTCACTTCCTCACAATAATTGTGTATTCATTCTTTTGAGAAATACATGCTGACTAAATGAAAAGAGGAAAAAGACGGAAGGAAAGGTATGAGGTCTGGGGACAGCCTGACGCAGTGCAGAGAACACAGGTCAGGTTCTGAGTCTTGCTCGTGACGGCCAGGTCTGTCCGTTGGCGACTCTCTTGTTTTGAGGGCCTCAGCTTTGTTGTGCGCACAATGTAGGTCGTAATAACTGTGTCTCAAAGAGTGTGGTGAGGGATAAATGAGATAATGTACGCAGAGCATCCAACCCGTAGGAAACTGTTGTTATTATTTTTATCACTTATAAAAGAGGGAAGGAGATTGACACTTGTATTACATACCTCTCTGGATTCAAATGATGTCATACCAGTGACTGGGCTTTGTCAACTAAAAAACTACTATAAACAGGAGGTATTTTATGGCCACCACCCCAGGATAACTTACTTTCAAACCTTTATTTACATCATTGCCTCTACCTGGAGTAAACTTTACTCTTCCTCTCGACTTCACCACATCCTACCCTCCCTTTCAGTCAAATGCTGGCTCCAATTCCTTCTGGAACATTCCTGGGGCCTCAGCCTAGAGCTCACTCCTGCCTCCACCTGCTGGGCTTATGTCAACTCTCGACATCACCGTATCCTGTCCTCCTCCTTGAATGGTAAATTCCATGCTCAGGATATCAAATGAGTGCACAAACAAATAAATGAAAGAATGAAATGCAGGCCACAAAATCTAGCACAGATGTTAGCTTCCACTTCCTCACCCCTTGGTGCCATGTTCTGTGTGGGATGCTAGTACTTGGAAGACTAAAACCCTGTCTTGGGCTCAGGAGCTTAAGCTCCACAGGGGAGACAGACAGGAGGCCTGCTGTGTTTCTCTCCCTGGCTGCAAACACCTCAGGTCAGCCTGAGTCACACTCCCTCAGCACCTGGCACACACCATGCCCGGCACGACTGTTGAATAAAGGGATGAAGCAATGAATGAAAAAAAAGATCAGCGGCTGGAGGGGCCTGGGGAGCGGTGGGACGCAGAGCAAATGCAGGAACAGGAGGGAGAGCGGCTGGCTTTCAGGGAGCGGGGTGGGGTCTCCGGGACTCACCCTGCGCGCAGCGGCGGGGCGTGGAGGCCCCTAGGCCGGGGCCCAGCGCCAGGCAGCAAGCGGATTGCGAGCGGCGCCTGCTCTGCAGCTGGAAGGAAACGCGCCGCCCGGCAGCCTCCGCCTCGAAGTCAGATACCACTTCGGCCTCCGCCAGCGGGTACACGAAGACCCCTGGGGTGCGGGTGGGGGACGCACAGGCGGGCGTCGGACCTCGCTGGGCGCCTGCCCCCACCGCCGCCCGGGGTCGGGGCCGGGTCTCACCGTCCACCGGCTGCGGCTGCGGGTTGTGGTAGGTGAGCCGGGCCCGCAGGCTGAGGCAGGGTCCGTTGGCGCAGGCCCGGACCCAGGAGTCCGTGAGGGGCAGCGGGGTCCAGCTGGAGGGGCAGTACAGGCCGGGCATGGTGCCCTGGGGGGGTGTGCTCTGTGAAGGGGTACGCGGGGAGTCCAGGGCGCCCTCCCCGGGCCCCCACCAGGGAGACTCCAGCTCAGGCACAAGCACACAGACCTGCAGGGGGCGCGAGGCCGAGTCTGGGGCTCGCGCCCCGCGGACAGGTGGCGAGGCGTGGATGGAGGGAAGGGGGGGGCGAGATGGTCTTTCTGGTCCGTTACCTGGGAAGGCAGGGCGCGGAGCAGCTCCAGCCTGCGGGGGACCCGGGGAACCGAGGGTTAATGATTAACCCGCGCTCTGGGCGCCCAGCAGTCCCGCTGCCAGCTCCTGGGGGGGTGAGGGGGGGTCCCAGCTGTTCCGTCACCCGCCCCCGGCCTCACCGCCACCCCGGTACCTGCCGCCCCCCCGGGGCTCCCCGCAGCTGCCAGCTGTCGGAAGTGGCGCAGGTGGGGAGATGAAAGGCGCGCGGGGTGGGGAGCAGAGGATTAAAGGGCCAGCATTCTCCTGGGTGCCCCCAAGTCCCGCAAGGGCCAGCAGGGGCGGAGCAGGATGGAAGCCGAGAGGCTGCCGTCCCTTTCTCTCTCCGGCGCCCCTTCAGAGGGGGCTGCTGAGCGCCTCATTAGAGGGGCTGCCGGCTGGTGTGGGGGGGACTGGGCTGGGAAGAACGAGATGCGCAGGCAAAAGGGAGGTGTCTCCTGGAGGCGAGACCCGGGGAGGTATTGGGCAGGTTCCCTGGGATCCGTCTGTGGCTGCGGCGCCCCTCCCCACTCTGACAGGCCTGATCTGGGAGAATGGGGGGGTGGGGGGCTGCAGTCGCCGCCACTCCCACGGCGGAGCAGGCAAGGATGCTGAGGTGTGGGTCCAGGGGTCGTGCCCTCCCCGCGGGGCCGCCGCCTCACCGTGTGGTCCTCGGAGAAGTTCCGGCCCGAGCAGGCTGGGGGGGGGCCGCTCTGCGCCCCGGGGCCGCTCTGGGTCTGGCACCCGCAGGGCGCCGGCTCGGGATTCCCGCTGCGGCCGCTCTGAGTCGGCGGAGGGGCGTCGGCGCTGCGGGTTCTGGTCCCGCCTCCGCGCGCAGAGGCCGCGCCTCCCGCCCCCCCGCCCCGCCCGCTGCTGCGGCGCGCCCGGCGCTCCCGCCCTCCCGCCTCCCGCCCACCCTCCTCCGGGGCGCACTGCCTGCGCGCCAGCCCCGGCGGCCCAAGCACACAGGGCTCCGCAGTGCGGGGACCGCAGCCCCGCCGCCGCGCAGGCCTGGCCAATGCGGGGCCGAGGCCGCGGAGGCCCCACCCTTTCTGTCGGTCAGGGAGTGAGGCGTCCTGCTCAGTCTGCAGCCCCCCCCCGGCACCGCAGCGACCCGCTATCCCTAAATCACTGTACCCAGGCCCTCCCCCCACAATCTCCCCTCTTGTCTTTCCATCATTGCTGTGACCCTCTCTATTCACTTCAGCCAACCCCGACACTCCTTTACTGTAGGACCCCCCCCCCCCAAAGATGTCAGTTCCTTTCCTTTGCAAAGTGCTCCTTCATGCTGCAGGAAGCTTCCCCAGCCCTGCAGGAATCTAGCTCTTGCCATCACTTCAGGGATCACTCGCTCCAAGCAGGGACCCCCTTCACACTGCAGCGACATCACCCCACACCAAACTAGCCAACCTTACCCGCCTGCAGTACCACCAGCTCCCCCTCTTTTTCTGGGGGTGGGGAAGGTAGGCAGGATTTCCCCTCAAGACCCCCAAGTGTGACTCCCTGGTACCTCCAGTTACCCAAAGCCTTGGAAGTGAGGCCTGTCAGTCTGCAGAGCATTCTCATGGCTTCAGACTTCCCCCCATCATAGCAGTGACCTCCCGTGCCCCATCACTGCAGCACCCACAGGAGACAACCTCCCTGCTTATTAACAGGTTCCAGTCAGAATTTTCATGGGGCTTGAATTGTTATGTTGCAAAAGATTAGAGAAGTGATTACATTTCTCCCAGGATCCTGGAGGGAGAGCCTGGGAGCCCTAGGGAAATGAGCAGGTTTGGGGGTCACCTGTACAAGTTTTCTCTCAGAGCCCACAGTCAGATTCCACAGAGCTGGAGGAGAGGGCCTCCCTGGTGGCGCAAAGGGTTAAGACACAACCTATGAAGCTGTCTGCAGCCTCTGCAGCACTAGTTCGATCCCCGGCCTGCCAGGGAGCAACCCACGTGGTGCAGCAGACCTCTCCTGACTTGCCTGCTGCTCCCCTCAGCAGTGTACTTCGATCAATCTGCCTTTTCTGTTCCCCACTCTGTCTGGTGCATCATCTCACCCCCCATACCTCTGGCCTGTACCCCAGCTCTTGTATGCATAAATAAATAAATCTTTAAAAAAAAAAAAAGAGCTGGAGGAGGGGGGGCAGCCAGTGGGGAGTGGACTTTCAAGCCAAACTCAGGATTCTCAACCCCTTTACTCTATCCTGAGTCCAGTTTTAATCACCATACTGGCTCCAGGGGTATCACCTGCCTCTGTGAACATCTAGCCCTCAACCCCAGTCTTTTTCATTGCCTCAGCCAATAGCATGGTGGACTTAGCTTGGCCTTTCCCCAGGGAAATATGGGAAGTCCAATCAATGACCACCTCCCTAAGGGTATTTTGTCTTTTCTTTCTAGAAATGTACCAATAGCTGCATGTGACCCTCAGGTCAAACACAAAGCTGCAGGAAGCAGTCATTAGGGGGCCTTAAACACATGGAAATAGAAAAGAGGTCCTGAAAAGAGCTTGGGTGGGTGTGAGATAGTCTCCCAAGAAGATGGTGTGCCTGTTAGAGTACACTGAACTTTGCTGGGAAGACTTTTTTTTTTTTTTAAGATTTATTTTATTTATTTATACAAGCACCGGGTATAGTTAGAAGTGCGGGAAGGTGAGAGAATTCACCAGAGCCAGAGATGGGAACAGAACAGGCAGACTGACGAAGTACACTGCTGAGGGGAGCAACGGGCGGCAGGAGAGGTCTGCGCGCCATGTCGGACCCTCACCCGGCAGCTGGGGATCGAACCGGCGCTGCAGAGGCTGCGGGCAGCTTCACAGCCCAGCGCTCAACCGCTGCACCACCAGGGGAGGCCCTGGAAAGGCTGTCTTAATGGAAGCAAATTGAGGGAGAGAAGGGTCAGCAGCTATAAGCAAGAGGCAGAGAGCATTCTGCAGGACAGGACAGGCAGCATGGCACCTGGGAGGAGGGGGAGCTCGATGGGGGCAGCAAGATTGGGCTCTGAATCTCAGCTGGGAGCCACTCTGGTGGCAAGCCTTCAGCATGAAGGGCAGCTGACCACAGGAAGAAAAGCACAGCCCCGAAGGGCCCCAAAACCAGGTTCTAGAAAGGGCTAATGAATGGCAGTGGGTTGGGGGTCTGCTATATGCCAGGCCTAGGGGAGCAGATATAGGATAAAGAGTTAAAAAGTTGTAGTCGCTGTCTTGAAAGTTTCACACTGTAGTGAAAAATGCAAATATACAATTACAATAGGTTAAGCTGAGTGCTGCATTGCAGAAATATAATGGATATGATAAAAAAAATTTAACAGGGAGCTTTCAGGTGGTGATGGAGGGAGGGAGGCATTTAAGCAGAATCCTAAATTGGCGTTAAACAGTGAAGGAGAAGATGTTTCAGGCAAATGGATCAGCTCATGAAAAGATGAAAGCCAGAGGGACGAGGGAAAGTACCAGCAGGTATTCATTTGTTTTTTCTCTCCGTTAATATTTGTCATGCACTTACTATATAGGACAGGTACTGCACTAAGCATGAATTATCTTCATTAATAATCAAAATGGCCCAAGAGACAGGTACTATTATTATCATCTTACAGCAAAGAAAACTGAAATCTGGGCAAGGTGAAGTGGTAGAGCCAGGATATTGAGTTCAGATGGTCTGGTCTCAGAACTCTTGTTTTTAAACTATCATAATCAATAGAGTCTTCTTGGTATTTATTTCCTGGCTTACTACATTTTGGTTTTCTCTCAATCTTTTTTTATAGTTTTTTTTTGGGGGGATATAATCAGCATATAACATTGTATTAGTTTAGGTGCACGCCACAATGATTTGATAGATGTATCTATTGTGAAATGATTACCAAAATACATTTAGTTTTTTTAAAGACTTATTTATTTATGTATACAAGAGCTGGGGTGCAGGCTAGAGATGTGGGAGGTGAGAGGATTCACCAGAGACAGAGTAGGGAGCAGAACAGGCAGATTGACTAAAATACACTGCTGAGGGGAGCAGCAGGAGAGACTGGAGAGGTCTGCCATGCAATGAGTTTCAATTTCCTGGCTGGGGATCGAACTGCTGCATTGGCTGCAGATAGCTTCATAGGGCTGCATCTCAATCCTTTGCAGGACCAGGGAGGCCCAAAATAAGTTTAGTTTTAACATCCATTTAGAGTCCCTAAATCATGCACATCCATTTAGAGTCCCTATTCATGCACTTCCTTTGGAAAAAATTCATCAGTGTTGGCTGACTTCAAAAGAAGAGGAACAGGTAGAAAAAGATTTATCTCACTGTCATGGCAGGGAGAATTACCACCAAGCTAGTAAGCAGAAGGGGGAACTGGAGGGCCCAAGACAAGGTGTAGGAGGAGATGGTTAGAGTAAGAGCCAGGATCTATTCTTGAGCTGGTGAGAGCCCTAGGACTGACTCCCTCTTCCTATCACAGGGCGTGGTACACAATAGTTACTCAATCGGGCCTCCCTGGTGGCGCAAGGGGTTAAGATGCAACCTATGAAGCTGTCCGCAGCCACTGCAGCACAAGTTCAATCCCCGGGCAGGGAGCTACCCACATGGCACAGCAGACCTCCCCTGATGCGCCCGTTGTTCCCCTCAGCAGTGTATTTCAATAAGTCACTCTGTCTCTGGTAAATCCTCTCACCCCCCACACCTCTGGCCTGTATCCCAGTTCTTGTATGCACAAATAAATAAATCTTTAAAAAAAAAAAGTTAATCAATGTTGACTGACTCAGTAACAGTGAGAATAGAAGGAAACCCACAGGCTCTGTTAGTGAAAATTGAC